AGAGATGTGATGCCATTTCTTCTCCACACTGTTACTTAGAGGGGAGAAGGGGGGGGGGAAGAAACAAGATAGCAATCTAATTGACTAAACATGAGCTGCCTTGAAAACCAGTTTTAGATTGATTTAAATTTGTATATCCTATTTATATCTTGGAGCCAGTTTGGTGTAATAGTTAAGACCAGTGGACTCTAAACTGGCGATCTAAACTGGCGATCCAGGTTCGATTCTCCACTTCTCCACTTGAAGCCAGCTGAGTAACCTTGGGTCATTCACAGTTCTCTCAGCCAAAAAATAAACCTAGCTTGCCTCAAAAAGAGCTAGAGTTTCAGGCTGCCAGACAGTCTTCGGATCTCCTGTTTCACAATTAAAAAGGCAAATACTGGTTTGGGTACAAGTTGAGCTTGTGAAAATAAGATCCCTTTATTGGTCACATATATGCCTCAAATACACTGTTTTAGTAGCAACTTTACTAGGCTCTTTCTAATCCTGCTATATCTGGTTTCCTTCCACTGAATTTATTAAGTTAGGTTATTGACAAGTTGTCAGCTTGGTTGGAGGAAGAGGCAATTCTGGGTTGAGAACAGGACAGATTCTGGAAGGGTGCTAGTGCTGTTGATCATTGCTACACCCTCCAGTACTTGATAGACAAGTATACTAACTTTAATGAGGGCATGCTGGAGCTTGCATTCATGGACCTCAAGGCTGATTTTGACTCAGTACCTAGAAAGAGACTCTGGGAGAAGTCAAGGAACACTTCTATGGAAAGAAGATCATTATTTTTGATTCATCAACTCTGTGATTCCCCTTCTTCTCAAGTGAGGTATGGCCCCTCTGGTCAACTGTCAGATCAGATTACTTTGAATAAGGGTGTGAAGCAAGGTTGCAGCCTTGCACCGCTGCAATTTAATATTTGTATTAATGATTTGTGCTCCTTCCTGTCCTGCAGTGATTACCACTTACCATATTTAGCCTCCCTTAAGTTGCCAGCACTACTATATGCCAATGATGCAGCATTGCTTGCAAGATCTGTAGTGAGAATGTGTAGACTCTTGCATTCCTTCTCAGATTACTGTTCCAAAGAAGGCCTGGTTATTAATTAAGTTCTCCTTTTTAGTAAGAAACAAGGGCACAGAAAGTTCAAATGGTCAATTGCCGGTTACAATATTGATCAGATTGAGCAGTTCAGATATCTGGGAGTAATGTTTGAGGGCTAGTTTTTCCTGGAAGATCCATCTGAGTTTGGCAATGAGAGCTGCCACTAGTTCAGATAGAGCCATGACAAGATTTTTTATATACTGCAGGAGGATAATATGTCCCAAACTGCAATTTGTGCCTTCAGTGCTAAGGTTCCTAGACACTAACTATATGCAGCAGGTGTTTGGATTAATTTGGTAACAGAAAATATTGACTGCTCTTTGTTAAGCTTTTTACTCTGCATTCTGGGAGCCCCAAAATGTGCTGCCTGGATGGTTTTGCTGCAGGACTTGGAGAAATGTCTTTGGAGGCTAAAGCGTGGCAGAGAGCATTTAATTTTAAAATAATTTTTTTTAGATCAAATAGTGAAACAGGCTTTTTGAGTCTATTAGAAGTGATCCTTATAAATCCAATCGGGATAGGATGGTGGAGAGTAAATTGTTACACCTAAATATAACAAATGAAATTATGGTTGCCCTAGAAAGACAGGAACTGAGCAATTTGATAAAATGCTGTCTGAAGGATCTAGATTACAGAACCATGACCATTAGAGCCTGGAGAGAGTGTTCTTTCACTTGGTATTCCCCATCCAATTAAAATGCCAAGATATTTTCTTCTGCTGAGAATACCACGGTATAGAAGGGCTTTTGTGTTAGCACAGTTGAATGCATTGCTGTTTGCAGTTGTAATGGGATGATACCAAGGTATACCATTTGCTGATAGATTATATACCTGTGGTTCAGATCGAATAGACTCTGTTTGACCATATAGTATTAGATTGTCCTGTATTTTCAGGTTTAATACCAAACTTAATTGTCCCATTACTTGAAGCTGGCTTTGACTCTGTGGATGAGAAAATTTCTTGGTTACTAAGAGATGTAGAAAACCAAGGTACTGTACAGGTGGCCAAATATCTGGTGGCAGTTATAGCACAGTATATTTAAAGAGCCACCTGCCTGGTTTGTTTCATCCAATTGTGTTTTCATGTTCGTGACAATGGTTGAAAGAACAGTAAATGGATTGGATTGGGTTGAAGTTCGGTTATTGAGTTTCCCCCCCCCCTCCTCTGGATGGAGTCTTCTTGCAAGTCATACTGTTTTCATAGTTCATACCAGTTCATGCAGGCGAAGCCTCCTAAATGCTCACTTTACATGTGAAATATAAGCTTGAAATAGACAGGGACTTTGCTGTTGAACAGCAAGCATTGCAAGTAACATAGGCAATAATCAGTGCCTGGCAAGGAAAGGCAGGAACAAACTTCACAGTGGTCTGACTGTTCTGCTAAGTGTGCTGTGGATTATGGATCCAACTAATGTGTAAGCTTCTGAGAGCACTCTGACAAGTTCTCTTGTGGGGTCCTTGAAAATTCTACAGTTTAAAACATGATGAATATTCCTTCTTACCATGTGACAGCAGGAGCAACTGTTACCTTTCCAACTGTAAGGAAATTAAAATACTGGTAAACACACAGCAGCAGTGGTGCTTCAGTCATGGAAGTTTTCAGATGGGTAATTGGTGTGACTTGGAAACTGATACCTCTACATGAGAACTGTGTAGCACAACCAAGATATGAAGCTTCAGTATCTTCAGCCTTTGACCAGTTCTCACAGTAGAAATGAGATTGCTTAAAAATGCTTAAATACAGCTAGTGAGAAGAAAACCACATGAAGATAAGAACTGGTAAATGCATGGTGCTTGAGGCAGTAGTGTGTGATGGTTGAATTTATAATAAAACTAATCTGCATGGTTGTTAAAAAAAATCCTTTTCAAGTGTACCAGTAAGGCCTTATGCCAACTGTTTCATTAACAGTGCAATCATATGCAGAGTCACTCCAGTCTAAACCAGTTATTTTAATAGGCTTAGTCTGGAGTAACTCTGGATAGAACTGCACTGATGATGCGTCCCATGAATTTGGAGAAAACATGTAATCAAAAGAGTTCTTTGTCAAGATTTACAAAGTAACTGCACAACTGTATGCACAATTTCAGGATTCACTGGTTAGTTAAAAGTCTATAGTTAAAGTATGGAAATATTTTAGACAAGTGAAGAGTTTCTACCCTGTCTTGGGGCCAATTTCACCCAGGACAGTCTTCTCTCATCTTTATTGTGAATATAAATACTTTCATTGTCTACAGCTTGTTTTTGGTACAGCTAACAAATATGGGGGCCCCACTAGAATTAGCAAAAGTGTACACTGAGTTTATTCATGTTATTTATTTTAAATAGTTATACCCCACATTTCTGCTGTGCTATTTACAAGGCAGACTACATAAATGAATGTGTGTGTGTGTGTGTAATGCATTCAGAAAATAATAATTGAAACTTCAGTGAAATAATTAAAACATTTTAAAAGTGCTGGACAGCTTTTGGCTACTGGAGCTAAAAGCCTTTTCAAACAGAAGTGTTTTGACTGGTAAGTGCCTTTGGATATTCTGCACTGCATCTTGGCTGCCACTGCTGTCCGTGGTATCCTGTCCCCTGTAACCTCCTGCCTGATTTTCTAAAGTAAAGAAATGCCAGGTAAGGCCTCTGACCTCTGGGTAAATTGACAGGTGTTCTCTTCCTTTCTGTCCTGCATCCACAAGGCTAATACAGAATAAAAGCCTGCCCCAAGTACTTTTATATAGTGCTTTGTGTGAAAACTCCTTCTTGAATTGACTGAGATCTAGGAATGAGTGCAGACACAAGTAATAACCGCAACAAACCTCATGGGCATAGTGGGACACAAAAGGACTTCAAAAATAAAGGCTGTGGATATAGGCTATGTATGGTGGATCTTAAAAAAAAATCAAGTAGCCAGAGCTGTGTGCTTTGACTTCTGTGCATGTTTGCTTATTTGGCATAGTATGCTTCAGTAGTCATGTGCAGGGAATAACCTGTACCTTGTCGACAGGAAAATTTACCAAACCCCCATCGTTTTTGTTCACATGCCACCTGAATCTTCACCTGCCACTGCCCCCCGCGTTCAAACCCTTCTTGCCACTACAATGGCAACAAGGCTGTGTTTAGCTAATCATTGGGTTTGTTTATATATCAATAGCATTATCTGAGTAGCACAAGCAAGAAAAAGCAAGCTGACCCAAGGGGCTAACTATTGTTGAGGTGCGGAATTCTCTGCCCAGTACCACATTCTGAATGTTCACAGGCAGGGGAATAACACATATGGGCTGGGTGATATCCAGAGATGGGAATTAATCTGAGTGGACAAGCTGTTGATTTGTATAGGTAATGAATGTCATAAGTGGTAGAGATAGGACATGTTCATCGTATTGTTTTAAAAGGATTATTAGAGAAATATGATTTACAGTCACAGGACTTTAAGCTATATACTTGTCTGCCAGATGTATTCAATGTTATGATATGATTATAGAGAGGTTGTTAAAAGAGAATCTTATCTCTACAAAGCTATTTAATTTCAGTAAAATACGTTGATATTATTTTTAATCCCATTGGTAGACTCCTGCAGTGTCGAGGTCACTGATCCTAATTGGTGGTTAGAAGCACATTAAATCCATCTTCTTTCAAGAATAAGTGTTGTAAATCAATCATCAAGAAGGAATATGAATTTGCAAAAAAGTAGGGTCTATTTTCTCATTGGTGACTGTATTTTTTAAAAAACAATCTGTTTCTAGTCTTTATGGAAATACTTCAAAGTACTAATGCACAGGCTACTGAACATACCAGCTATAGGTTGTTTCCAGGTGTAGTGTATGTAAACTGATATCATATCAGATATGGAAGATGAAGAGACTGTATGGAGTATGGAAAAAGAATAATGTGGTGCAGAAAATACATTTTGAAGATTTTTTTTCCCTTTGGTGTTTCAGTGTTCCCGTTCCTATAGTCAGCCTAGAGAAAATCCCTAACCTAGTGAAGGCAGATGGTGCCAATGTTAAAATGAACTCTACAACCACTACCACCATCACCACCTCCTCAGCTTCATCATCTGCCATAACTGCTCCAGCCTTGGTTAAATCTGCTTTGACATCTAAATCAGTGCCACCATCACCAGAAAAGATTCTGAACGGCAAAGGAGGCCTAGCTCCATCAGTAGATAAGAAGCACCAGAACAGCACTAAAAACAGTAACAAGCCTTACAAGAGACTTTCAGGTAAGCAGCTGTTGCAGCATGACTCTGAATGAGATCCCCTCGTTCTTCGTTTAGCAGTATTCTGTTGCTGAGCAGTTCAGCATACTGCCACATTGTTTAGTGACTGGCGCCCTCCCCCTCTCTATATTCAGTCCATGAATAAGATATCTAGGCTATATAAACTTAACTGGGCCCCAGATTTCAAATTAGTGGTCTATTCTCCTTAATTTGGCAAAGAGGACAAGAACTGTGTCTCATCATAGGGTTCTTGAGGTATAAGAGATCAGAAGTGGTTTGCCATTGCCACCTTCTATGCATTGCTAACCAGGGTGAGCTGAAGTGTCACTGGTATTGTCTATGAAAGATCCTCCACCAGTGTCATCGTTCACTACTGCTGCTGCCCAGTAGCTGCATTTCAAGGATGCCTTGGCCCCCTCACCTTTGGAACCCCGAGTTCTCTTCTGCCGAGGTGACCATTGATTCCTGAATGGGATGGTTGCGTCTTGGTTTGGTGGCTTTTGGATCATTCTGCCTTGAGTGAATCTGCTAGGAGTTTAGACTCTTGACAGAGTATAAACGAAGGACAGTATTGCTTTCAGCTTCACTGACACATTCAAACCCCCTTACCACATTGAGGTGTGTATTGAAGAGAGGATCTATGAATGGGGTTGCTATGAGTTGTTGTGACTTGACAGCACATTCTTCTGAAAGAAGTAGGCTTCTTTCAATCCTAGGGCTTCAATCCTGTCCATTTTATGTTTGAGAGAGGCACTTTCACCTGCAGAAGAGAGGGAAGGCAGTTTTTGGCAATCCTACAGACACACTGCAGACCCCCCCCCCTTCATCCCCTCCCATTCTGTTTCTGGGGCTCTGCTAGACCTCCCCAGGGGCACTGCAGGGAGAGGGAGGACGGGGAAAGTACTCTGTCATCTATTGCAGCTCTGTTTGCCCTAGATAAGATCCACCCCATTTAGTGTGTTAGCTGTATAATGACATCTGTCCTATCTATCCGATAGTTTTAAAAGAATGATCTAAAATTTGAATTAGTGAAATGAAACACTCATGTATATAGCACAACTGATTTGCATGAGTAAAAAATGCCTGTTCTGTCTCTCTTGCTGCAAGATAAGTGCCCCATTAAGTGTCTCATTGGTCAGCATTCACTTCATGTGACCCATCATGGCTGTATTGTAACCAGTTGGAAAGAAAAATTAGTTGCAGGCTATGGCAAACCACTATGTTCACTTGATTAATCATATACTCTCAAAATAAGTAATAATATTGAATTATTACTGCATGCTTGGGTTGGAGGGGACACCTAAATGGATACATCATTTAATGTTGTAATGAAGATGATCAAAAAACAATATCCCCCTTAAGTCAAGAGGAAGATGAATGCCACTTTCTGAAACAGTACTTGGTTTCTGTGATGAGAAATTATATTGTAGTTTATTTTAAAGATACTTAAAAATATGTAACATTTAAAAAGTAAAGTTTGGCATTGCCTGTTGCATATAATCTTAATAGACTGGACAAGCAAGGGAAGAGGGTAGAGGATAGTGTGTGCGTGGGCAGAAATGAATAATTAAAGGCCTATGAAAAGAAAAAAATTCATTTTTTTAAAGGAAAGAATAGTGGTGTCTGAAAAATATCAGGGTGGGAGGGGTAGGATAGGATAACATTTCAGTGATACGGTCATCTGAAGGAAAGAGATAGCAACCTGGGGTAGAAATACGGAATTTAACAAAGAGCTTATTGATAGAGGAATAGAACACATATGATGGAAGAGAGGAATAAAAGAAAGATAAATAAAAAGGGGAAAGGGATAAAGACATTTGAAAGTAATAAGAAAAGGCTTGTATGAAACACAGAAAGGACAAGGAACCCAATGGAGAAGCGGTGAAAAACTGGTCAGTGTTAACACAGAAGAAATCAAGTGAGCAGAGAAACTGAGGGTGGATTAAGAGCCAGTGTAGGGTGGCTGGAAAATAGAGAATTATCATAATCATCTCTATAGGGTGAACAGCACTCCTTCTAGAATCCAGAGGAACAGTGCACTTACAATGCAGTCTTAAGAGGAGCTGCATTTTTCTAAACTCATTGAAGTCAATGGGCTTAGAAAGCGTATAACTCTGTTTAGAATTGGACAGCAAGTAACCTGTCTGGGAAAATAAAGTAATGCTGAGCAAGCGGGAAGGGAGGAGAACATACATTTTCCTTCCCATATTGGAAAGAATAATGCAGGTTGCACAGGTCATGTGTGTGCTCAAATACTTGTTGTATCAAGGCACATTAACAGCTGTGTAACTTCTTTCTGTCCAAGAACTTTGCTTTCAGTGCTTTGGATCCATGTTCTTCAGTGGTATTTGCATGTTTCTTCCAAGCTGCATTATTTATTATCAAGCTATCAATATTGTTTGCTATTACAGTTTCCATGTTGAACTGGCCAAGCCAAAATAGATGGCTGTTAAATACTAGACAAGGGGTCCCCAAGCTTTTTGAGCCTGTGGGCACCTTCAGAAGTCTGACACAGCATGGTGGGTGCAGCCACAAAATGGCTACTATAGGAATCAGAGCCAGCCACCATATCGTCGCTGCAGCTTACTTTGGCCCCAGTCACATGGAAGGTTTTGGCCCGGGAGAGGGATGGATCGGGGGCGTAGCAAACGGGCGCGGGTACACCACAACATCTGGGAATCGGCGTGCACCCATCCCCGATCCGTCCCTTCAAGCCTAAAGCGCGCATCAAAAAAGAACCTGCAAAAGAGCAGGACTTACCTGGCACGCTGCAGCAAGCGCGGCCGTGGGATCGCCGGTGCACCCGTCTTCGGTAGCAATCCAGGCTCCCGGCCAAACTGCGCAAGAGCACACATGCGCAGTTCGGCTGCCTCGCTCTTTCTTCAGTGGCTTCCCCTCGGCATCTGATCGTGCCGGGGAGGAACTGCGCGGCGGCTCAGAGGAGCTGTGTGATCCCGCCGCCGCGTGTTTCTTTTGGTGCGGCTTTCAAAAGCTGCACTTTGCCCGCAGCAATTTCCCCCCGTGTGGCAGGGGCCTCTAAATCGCACGGTGAAGACCCTTTTGCTGTGGTGGCAACTGCTGCCAGAACAACATTTTTTTAAAAATGTGAAGCCAATCTCCAATGACCAATCAGAAATCTTGTTGGGGGGAAAGCTGCAGCTGGCCCCACCCACTGTCTAAAAACACTTGGTGGGTGCCAGAAAAAGAGTTGGTGGGAACAATGGCACCCACAGACACCATGTTGGGGACCCCTGCAGTAGACATTTTTTTAAAAATAGAAACATCTAGATCTGTTCCAGACAGTGTAAAACAAAATGTCTCTTAACTTTGTCTCTTAATTTTGGTTCAAACTAATCAAATTTAGTCTGTTTATAACAGAAGATGTGATCTGTTGACTGCACTGTTGAAGCAGGAACCCCCTTTTTGTGAAAATAACTGCTGTTTTAGCAGCATTATTTTCCAGACTAAGCTGTATGTGGCAGGTTCACTACTGACTCTCTTTTACAAATGTCTGATGTGACCCTTCTCAAAGAGCTGTATTCAACCAATGGATACCATTAACTAGTTTTGTTAGCTTAGTTCAAGGGCAGCAATATTGGCTCAAGTCTTTGTGTAACATGAGTGGCTATTGCCATTCAATGCTGTGATTCTTTTCTGAAACAGTAAAAGCTTTTTTGAGATAGATATTGTCCCAAGAAGGGGGCTTAAGCTCCCCCCTCCACACACTGTTCTCTTGACCTGAAATGGCCCCTGGGAATTGTTGTGGAAACTTTTGTGTGCTGATGGTCAACATACTGGTTTCCCCAATGGTGCAAATAGTAGCTCCCTGGTGTGGTTTCAGATTGGGGAAATGGAGTGTGCATGTGGGTGGGTCTTTAGCCTTTTGTCCCCATGTGCCATGGTTTCAGTACAGATTGGTTCCCCACATCTAAGAATCACGCGTTTCACTGGGAGGGACCAGTGCACATCTGCTTGACAGGACGTGGGGGGCAGACCTATAAGCAGTGTAACACATAGTTATGCTCTGAGTTGATCTTCCTATATATATTCTGTAACATAACTACTTGACTGGGAAGGGTAGGCAGTCCCATTCCTTGAAAGTTTATGAACAAAGACTAGTGTATTTTAAGGATAGGCACAGTTAAGAGTAAAAGTTGTGTTCTAAATTTCAGGTCCATTCCCCCTTCTTTACAAGGCAAAATACTTCCCTTTCTATTTGCCCTTCTGCCTTCTTCCCATCAGTGCAAAGAAAGAAAAATATTTAACATTGTGCTTCAAACCCACCACCCTTCTTTTCCTGAACAGGCAGTTCTCACATTACATATCTCCCCAATGCCAAGGCTTGTGTATACTAAGTGTTAAATATTAGAACTGGGTCCAGAAAAGATTAATTGTGTGACCTGCATACAAATGCTTAATCTTCTAGTTGGAAGGAGTGATGCTGGGGTACTGCTCCTCGCTCTTCTGACCTCTTCTAAATTCTTTCAAGCCTGTCATTACAATCATATAGCCTAAAAATTTATATATATATATATATTCATTCTATCTAGGTTATTTTACTCAGAGTAAACAGCATTAGAAGTGGGTATCTGTCCCATTATCTTAGACTAGATATGTCAATAAGGGATGTCTGTGATGCTAGGAAGGGCTCTACAGAAATGTTCTTGTGGGGCCTGTTACAGAGGCAAATATGTTGCAGGTCCGTAATAAACTTCTTTTAGTTCCAGAATTACTGATAGTAGTTCTGCTGAGTTTCTGAATCTTCCACATCTTATTGCATGGGCCCTCAACTTTTTCAAGGCTGGGGACCCCTTTGGAATTTTGAGAGGGGAGGGTGAGCACCAACCCAAAAATGGCTTCCATGGGAGGTGTAGCCAAACCCAAAAATGACTGCCTCAGGATGCAGAGCCAAACAGAATACCTCCCTCCTCACTCCTCCTGGAAGCAGGAAGTTCTGAAGAGGGTATGGAATCATACACTGGTTAAGGAAGGCCCAGTTGTTTACCAGCCCTCCACACCCTGTGGTTGAAAATGCTTTCATTTGAATGAGGGAAGCCAATAACAAGCCCTGCCTTATAATGGCCCTGTGCACTTTCTGAAGAGCTTGGTGGGTGCCAAGAAAAGTACTGGCAGGTGCCATGAGGAGCCCTGCCTTTGCATGTTAGCATTATGAGACAGGATACAAGCAGAGAAATGATAACCTTTCTAAAAGAAGATACAACCCTTTTAGAGTTCTGTTCTGACCTGCAACCTTACTGCATCTTCATTTTCATTCATGTGATTGTAGCATATTAATCTGTGTTCACTGTATTTATTTTACACAGAAAGAGAGTTCGACCCAAATAAACACTGTGGAGTATTGGATCCTGAGACAAAGAAACCCTGCACAAGATCACTCACCTGCAAGGTAGATTTGGTACTTATAGGTGATGCGAAGCCATATTTGACTTTTTGTTCACCAGTATTGGTTGGAGTAGTCATTCTTCTGATGGATAGATTAACCTAGTCGTGAGTTATCCCATATTAGACCAAATGGGGCATTTTGCATCATTATTATTCAGAAACTCAAAGTGAAGCCATAACAAGATGGACCAGAGACAAACTTTGTAGCAAGTGTTTGATCTCTCCCCATCTAGTTACTAGTAATTAAGGGCTGAAAGTGGATTGGTATTTCCTTAGCAGCAGTGTATAAATCACCCTAAGCACTGCCACTTAAATGAAGAATCACTAAAGGCGGTTGACTCTACTGGCTTTAGCATCCCAGACAGTGAACGTGTGGCATGTCCAGCAGCACAAGTGAATTTGGGAGGCACCTGCACCTGCTCCTGTTTGCTCTCTCCAGCTCCAAGTAGCAGTGGTTTGGGTTGGATGGGACTACACACTTTCTCCTGATTCCAGCTGCCCTGGACAATTCCATCTTATGCATTCTGCAGCATGATGAAAGCAATTAAATGATGAGAGGCATTTCTTGAAAAATCACTTCATATGAAAGCTTGACAATCTGGTATAAGAACCATAATTGCCAGAATAATGGTATAAAGTATCTGAAATATCTAATTTGTTGAAGTGTATAAACAGAGCTGCGGTGGCTCAAGTGGTTAAGACGCTGAACTGCAGGCTGTGGAAGGTAAGTAGTTCAGCGGTTCAAGACCCGGGTGCCGCAAGACAGGGTGAGCTCCCGTCTCTAGTTCCAGCTCCTGCCAACCTAGCAGTTCGAAAGCAAGAAATTGCAAGTAGATAAATAGGTACCACTTTGGTGGGAAGGTAACAGCGTTCCGTGCGCCTTGGTGTTTAGTCATGCCGGCCACATGACCACGGAAACGTCTTCGGACAGCGCTGGCTCTTCAGCTTTGAAACGGAGATGAGCACCGCAACCCTAGAGTCGGATTCGACTGGCTTTCGAGCAAGGGAACCTTTACCTTTACCTTTTATAAACAGAGAAAATTTGGCCCCTTAAAACAATTATTACAGGTTTACCAGTCTTCTCAAATTGCAGGATGTATTGAACATGTTCGGGGGATGCTGTTATAGTAGAATATATGGTGCTTTAGAAAACAATTAGACAATTCCAAGTGAGTAACCATGTTAGTCTGGACCACCAAAATATAATGTGAGTCCAGTGGCATCTTAAGACTAACAAATACTAATTCTGCCATGAGCTTTCATCATTCAGAGCTTCCTTCATTAGCTGCACTTCAGTGCCACTAGACTGAATTTTACTTTACTAAGGAGACAGTTTCCATGGCAAATATTCTTATTATGTTTCATTAAATAGTATTGAGAGCCAGTGTGGTGCAGTGGGTTCAAATCTCCACTCTGCCATGGAAGCTTGCTGGCTGACCTTGGGCCAATCACATGTTCTTCAGCCTAACCTTCCTCACAGAATAAAACCTTGTTGGTCTTAAAGGTGCCACTGGACTCAAACTTTGTTCTTCCTCACAGGGCTGTTGTAAGGATAAAATACAACAGGGGAGAATGTTGAAAGCCCTTGGGGTAAAAAGTAGGGTAAATAAGTAAGTAAATACATTTATATGGCTGACGTATTAGCCAATATCAGATAAATTATAGAATGACGGTTTCCTGTTCTTGTTTTAAGTGGTTGTTCTGTTAGTATCTTAGATTAGTATTTTTTAAAATCAGAAAATGAGTAATGTCTCTCTCATTATATATATATATATATATATTACACACATATCTTCATGCTTTAACCACCTTGATTTTAAGACTCATTCACTGAATCATCGGCGAGCAGTTCCAGGGCGCAAGAAGCAGTTTGATGTCCTTCTGGCGGAACACAAAGCCCGATCCCGGGAAAAAGAAGTAGCAAAAGATAAGGAACATCCACAGTCTGTAAGGGAAACACATCAGAACCAACCTGTACCAGCACAAGACTCTCTATCAGGAGTTTCAGTAAATTCTGGGCAAGAACCCAAAGGAACGTCGCCTGCAAAATCTAGACCACCCAATTCAGTATTTCCTAGGTAAGTGGCCTGTCCAGGCAAAGGGTTCTGGAATGTCTGGAGTGTTAACTGATGGGCCTTTTTTGCATTCTGCTTGAGCGGGTGTTAGAACTTCAAGCGAGAACATAAAATAATGCAACTCAGAAGTGGAGGGTATCGGTATGGGATAGACAATTGCATGGCTATGAAGAGACTACTTGGATCCAAACTAAGGCACAGCAGGATGGGCCCTGAAATGCTGCTCCTGAGGGAATGGGGGGAGGGGGTTCCGGAGCCAAATGGGTTGTAGTGTGAGGGGGAAGCAGGAAAAGTTCTGTTATATTGCTGAAAGTGTGTATATCACGTTTGTATCCTGCCTATTAGTCTGTGTTTTAAAAAGTTGTAATATGTGAAGTGGCTCTTAGATACTTTTTTTTACAAAGACCTGTTCTTATCAAGTGGCATATCAGAGCAGAACTGTGTCACTTCCTATAGAAAAACACTTGGACCGAAGGGATCAGCAATGCTGCTAGAGAACTTGAGGTCTGGTATGAATGAATTGTGTGAATTATATTCATTTAACATTGTATATGTTTGCAACATTTAGAGCTTGGAGTTTAGGTGTTGTGTTCTGTTTTATTTTTTAAGATTGGAATAGGAACGGGAAAATATATTTGGACTTGGAGGAGGGGAGAATCAGGAATTGGGGGTTCTAGAGAACATGAGCTTGGATAATGGGGATTTTTTGATCACTAGATCTCCTGCTCAGACCGGTTATTGCATAGGGTCCTTAGACTTTTGCAGTCTTTGGCTCTCACTCACTAGGGAAGAAGTATCCTTCAATTCAGTGGGACTTGTTCTTGAGTAAGCATGTGTAGGATTGCACTGTAAACCCCTGAGCTTGTAAAGGTAGTTAAGGAGCCTCACATCACTGTTAATAATACAACTTGCTTTAATTTACTGTTTTTTAGATCCTCCTCTACAAATAGCATAAATAGTACCAGTTCTTCAAACCACAGTGGGTATGGACAGGAACTCCCTTTGCCTTCCATGACGGGAGACTTGCCTAGTCGATTATCTAGTGATGAGGGGGAAGTGGACATATCTGAAGAATCTGAAAAATTAGATTGCCACTATTCTGGACATCATCCGCGGCCTCTTGGGGTATGTCTCTTCCTTTCTTTCTCTTTAGTAACTGTGGAGATCTTTATGACTGACTGTATGCCTTTTGGAGGGGATCTTATTGCCAAAAACGTGAGCATTATATAATCACATCACTCATCAACAAGCATTGTTTTTCAAAAGATAGAAAAGGGAAGAAAGAAGAGAGGAAATGAAAACACAACATTCTGGTAACCCCATGCCAAAACAAGTAAAAAATAAAAATTTAAGTTAGAATTTCTGTTGTCCAGTATCAAAAACATTTTTTTTTATAAATTATTTTTATTAGGTTTTTATACATTAAGCAACACACACATAAAACAACAACCAACATGTATATCCCTGCACCGATTAAGCCCTTATTGTACACTTAGACAAGATCCATTTCTTATACCACGCTTATTTTCTATACAACTCAGATTAATATAGCCATCATTCCTTCATTGATCAAGTTTTCCATCCAGTCTGCATTGACTAAGCCTCTTTATTTCTTTATCCTCTTGAGGTTAATTAAGTGTAAGTCAAATTCCAGCTCTTATCTCAGCACCATATCTTGTCAATTCTGTGTATTCAATATGGGGGTTGGGTTTATACTTATTTTTTCTTTTCTTTACTTTTCTTCTAATTTTTATAATATTTGATGCTTTAATATTTTATTAATAATTTATTTGGAGCTTTTTAACTTTCCCTTTTAACCATTCCATGTACTCATGACTAACCTTTTCAGATATCTTACAATACATTCACACTTTCCCTTAATCATTATACTCAAATAAATTAATTAAATTAAATAATTTAAACATATTCTAATCATAAGTAATACATTTACACTTTCCCCTAAAAACAAACAAACATATATATATATCCCCTCGCATTTATAAATATATAAGTTTAAATA